ATTTTCAAATGAGTTCCACCCATAGAGAGTGACAAACACTTCATACTGTTTTTCATTCTCACTGTGTAGTCCAGGCTAGCCCGAAACTCGATATCCTCTGTGCTCCACTTTCAAAGGACCGTGCCACACCCACACCCTGAGTCTCAAGCCACTTGTGATATTTTTCTTAGCTGGCTAGGACACTTAAAGCTCTAATTACCCCATGTTAGCAAGGAAGGAGTTGCTGGGTCCAGTTGGAGATCTTGGTCTATCCGGCTCCTCATACACTGGGGGAGGAATAGCAGCTTTGGAAGACTGAGATCGAGGTCTTGAGTCCTCTTCATAAGGAAAATCTCGGGGTACTGTTGGAAAAAAGTAAAGTAGGCAGCTCACCACAGTGCCACAAAACAAACAAACAAAGAAACAAACAAAAACACCATCCAAAGCTTCACTATCTTCATCTGTCCACCGTGAGCTGATTTCACCTACACTTTTGTTATGCTCTTTCTTTCCTAAAAACACTGTCTCTATTTCGGCAGTCTTCACAGCCAGCATGAACTGTTCGGAGATGACTTTTTAGACTCATTTATATACCTTCCGTGTATGCCTAAGTGTATGTATGGACAGGCTGTTGATGCTAGGAACCTAACCCATGGCCTCTGGAAGCAGCAAGCCCTCTTAACTGGTGAGCTACCCATCTCTGCACTCCTGGTATTTTTTTTTTTAACAATTAAATAAAAACTATATAATTAGCATTCAGAACAGTAGGCTACATTATTCATTCACATGTTTTGCTACCTTCTGTCCCTCTGATTTTTCTGATCTACAGCGTCTATGTAGGTTTTTAAAAAACCAGAGTAGGAGAAGACTCTTAGTTCTACTGCTCATATCTTCCCAGGCATACTTTTTCCTATCTTACTGAAATGCTGCTCACCCGCTAAAGCACTCACTTAGATGTCAGCAACTCTCCTTGACTGCAAGATCTCTGTATGCTCCATGGAGATGCAATGTAACTCTCATTGGAGTCCCACAGCATCAGAGTACCTGCTCTAGACTCTAACTTAGCTAGCTGCAAAGACCATAAATAACTAACTAAATAAATAACTAAATAACTAACTAAATAAATAAATAAATAAATAAAATAAAAAAATCTGTGCTGTCAGGACCATATTCGGTTGCTTTTTAATGCAGTTGCATATTAGCATCAACAGGAAACTTTAAAGACATCAGATGCATGGCCCTCCTGTCAGAAACTGGTTTCAACTGCAGTTTATTGTCTGTCAGGTGTTTTGTTTAAACAATATATATTTGATGATATTCTTAAACTATCTTCTTTTAAAATATAATAAACAGCATACTACATATTAAAAAATATTAGGGCTGGAATGATGGACCGGTGGTTAAGAGTACTGGCTGCCTTACTGAGGGCTCAGGTTCGGTTCTCAGCACCCATATGGTAGCTCACAACCTTCATAACTCCAGTTCCAGGGAAAACAATGCTCTCTTCTAATATCCACAGGTATCAGGTATAATGCAGGCAAAACACTCATATACATAAAATTAGAATAAATAATAAATATTTTTAAAAGATTACTGACGGCTTTTAATTTTGTTTCATTTATTTTATGTGTGTGAGTCTTCTGCCTGCATTTATCTCTATGTACCAAGTGTATGCACATCTGGGGCCCATAAAGAACAAGAAGAAGGTGTCAGATTCCCTGGAACTAGAGTTATAGATGGCTATTAGCCACTGTGTGAGTGCTGGGAATCAAACCTGGGTCCTCTGGAAGAGGAGTCAGTGCTTTTGACTGCTGAGCCATCTCTGCAGGCCTACCCACTTATTTTTAATGATAGGTTAGGTATGGCTCAGCATACAGCATGGGACAAAGCCCAATTACAACCTCCAGATTTTAGAAGAGGTCCAGAGGAGAATCAGCAGTGGGTGGGCATGTTTTAGCAACATACGTATATAGAAAACTACTGCTCAGTAACAAAAATTAATGGGAAATTTTTTAATCAAGAAAGGCACTGCCTCCTTGTGAAAGGTCAAAAAATACAACAGGCTCTAAACCTCTGAGTTACAAAGTCTGTTATCTATTTGTGATTTTTGAGACAGGTCTCACTCTATAGCACAAGCTAGCCTGGAAACACACTAGACAGCACAGGCTGGCCTTGAATTTGAGTAATTCCTTTGTCCCCCATGCTGGGTAATGGGCATGAGCAACTACTGCTTTTATTAACTTCAAATGAATCTCACACAAACATGAAATCTTGATGAAAACAACAATAAAAACCAATTTATCTTCCTGTATAAAAATCTGCACTCGCTGAGCGGTGGTGGCACACGCCTTTAATCCCAGTACTCGGGAGGCAGAGTCAGGCGGATCTCTGTGAGTTCAAGGCCAGCCTGGGCTACAGAGTGAGTTCTAGGAAATGCACAAAGCTACACAGAGAAACCTTGTCTTGAAAAATAAAACAACACAAAAAAATCTGCACTCAGATCCTGATACTAAAAAATTCCACGTGCAGGGTGGGGCATGGTGGTAGTACATGCCTTTAAACCCCAGCACTCAGAAGGCAGAGGCAGGTCAACATAGTTTCAGGTCAGCCAGTACTACACAGTTGAGACCCTGTTGCAAAACAAAACAAAGCAAAGCATCCCAGTTTAGCAGGTAGCAAGGGCCACTGTGACTTCAGGGGTAAAAACTAGAGATTCAAGCTTAGGATATCCACAGTCCATAAATATCTGTAAGAGAATACGAGGATAAAAGAAGAAAGCAATGTACATACACTCCTTGTCTTTCTCTACAAGAGAAGTAGGCGGGGCGATGGCAGCTCCTCCCATACCTGTGAAAACACAAGGATTGTGCTTAAAGGACAGCACACTCACAGGAACTACTGTTCAGCGCTTGCCCATCAGTCGTATCACCACCCTTCTCTCCAAGAAAGAATCATCTCATCCCTCACGGCAACATACAAGCAATTACAGGTCTAAAGCTGGTGTCAGAATGTAAAAAAGTAGGGGCCCAGGAGCTCCACGCCATAACTGAGTAACTAACAACTGACAGTTTCTGGGGACTACATACATAGTTGTTGACTGTCTCAAACACCACCATTACCAACCCCACCACCAAATTACAAAACACCACCACCACCACCACCACCACCACCACCACCACCACCACCACCAACAACAACAACAACAACAACAAAACCCAATACAAATACATTTAATTCACACATCCAAGTACTAAGATATTTAAATTGTAAACTTCTTTTCCACTTGGCAGGTATTTTTAAAATTTAAATTATACTGTTGTAGAATATTATTTTAAGATGTTACATTTGATTACGCTGTGGAACATTTGTTTAATGATGCAAAGATGTGTTGCATTCTTTTATGTTGCATTTGTTTAACTGTGAAGTTGTGTTACTGTGCCTGTCTAAAATACCTGATGGTCTAATAAAGAGCTGAACGGCCGATGGCAAGGCAGGAGAAAGGATAGGTGGGGCTGGAGAGAATCACTACAGGAGAAATCTGGGAGAAGATGAAGGAATGAGAGAGAAAGGAGGACTTTAGGGGCCAGCCACCCAGGCACCCAGCTACACAGCCAGACATGGAGTAAGAAGGAAACAAAGGAATACAGGAATAGAGAAAGATAAAAGTCCCGAGGCCAAAGACAGGATAATTTAAATTAAGAACAGCTGGCAAGAAACAAGCCAAGCAAAGGCCCGGTATTTATAATTAAGAATAAGTCTCCGGGCCCCCAAAAGATCAAAGAGCCAAAAGTAAAAAAACAACAACAAACAACATTATACCCTACAACAGGCTTCAGCATATAGCTGGGGAGACCATTCCTGCCATAAAACAGAACTTCTATACAGAATGATACACACACACACACACACACACACACACACACACACACACACACACACAGAACTACTATACAGAATGACAACTACCAGGACACATAATCCTTAGGGTTTATGTTCAAGACAACAAACTACAATGAGGGCTTCAGGCAAATAAAATCAGGGATAGACCAAAAGTGGGCTTATCATATACAGAATGCACTAAGCCCCGAGACTCACACTAAAGTTAACAGACCCTACTAGGTGTCATGAAGGTCTGAGATGCTTAGAATAGCGCTTGTTAGGTAGTAGAAAAGTAGAAGTTTCTGCCAACTAAGACAGCCAACTAAAGTCGTGGCAAGCACACCATCATGAAGTCAAAAGATTATTCTATTCTTTCAAGTGCCATTAGCTACTGCTTGTAATTGCTAGGAATTTATTTTACACACAACTAAACCTCTACTCACAAAACTGTTAGTAGAAGGTTCAAAGTCCCCAGTGCAGGTTTTGATCTCCCTGCTCTCTCAGGAAGCAGGTGAACATGCAGAGAAGCATAATGGGCTCTCAAATGCAGCTGAGTTAGAGACAAATGTGCTCTGAATATGGGTCTTCCCTCTCTACCTAGTGCTGACTGGAAATGCACCGGGCTTGAGAAGCAAGAGATGACCATGCCTCAAGTAAGGGTAAGTGCAGAGATAAAACTAATGCTCTTTTCAAAATATACAGCAAATGTCTCCAAGTGTTTATGAAGTTCAGAGTGGAGTACATATGAAAACAGTATAATCCAAAGCTACTATGGCATGTGGACTGGTGGGAATCTAGAGCACCTCCCCCGACCCCCTCAACTACCCAAACTAATGTAAAATAAACCACGTCTCAAACGAAAGGAAGAGCAAAGCCTGGGATAGCGCTGAGTCTAAAGTGTGCTCATGTCTGTTTACGCCTTACTTCTTTTCCTCCGCTCTCGCTCATAATCTTCATCTTCATCAGAATCTGGGTCTGGTCGTCTTGAAAACCCGCTGGCTTCATGCCTGTCTTTACGCCTCCTGTAATAACAAAGTAATGAATGTTCATCACAGATAAATTAGTATAGAACATGAAGCTTAAATATCATTGTGACTGCCTCTTGGCAAAAGAAAAAGGAAGAAAGAAAAATGTTCTTTGAGAATAAATTGTTAATTTATGCATAAATTTATGTATATATCAGAGAAGATTAGCATGGCCCCTGCGCAAGGATGACACGCAAATTCGTGAAGCGTTCCATATTTAAAAAAAAAAAAATTTATGTATGTATGTTGGGGATGTATACAACAGAAAAAATTCAAAATAAAATGAACAAGTTGAGCCAGGCGGTGGTGGCGCACGCCTTTAATCCCAGCACTCGGGAGGCAGAGCCAGGCGGATCTCTGTGAGTTCGAGGCCAACCTGGGCTACCAAGTGAGTTCCAGGAAAGGCGCAAAGCTACACAGAGAAACCCTGTCTCGAAAAAACCAAAAAAAAAAAAAAAAAAAATGAACAAGCTGAACAGATACATGAGGGTAATCCATAGGAAGAAAATTTTGACATATAACTTTTTATTTTAAGGCATATGCATATACAGTTTAATGATCTCAATTTTCTAGGCTACACATTCACTCATTAAAAAAAAACCCATCCAATAAATAAGAACTGCCATATTAGTATAGAATGCATATTAATTAACACAATTAAATATTTTAAGAAGCTAGGTATAGTGGCACATGTCTTTAATCCCTGCACTCAGGAGGCACAGGCAGGCAGATCTCTTTGAGTTTGAAGCCAGCCAGGGCTACATAATGAGACCCTTGGCTTAAAAAAAAAAAAAAAAAAAAAAAAAATTAAGAAATAAATCCTATTGCCTATAATTTTAAAAAGCAGCCGGGCGGTGGTGGCGCACGCCTTTAATCCCAGCACTCAGGAGGCAGAGCCAGGCGGATCTCTGTGAGTTCGAGGCCAGCCTGGGCTACCAAGTGAGTTCCAGGAAAAGGCGCAAAGCTACACAGAGAAACCCTGTCTCGAAAAAAACCAAAAAAAAAAAAAACACAAAAAAAACAAAAAAGCAAATGAAAAATACATGTACTTTTGCCTGGCTCAAAAATAGGAAAGGGGACCAGATAGAGTGGCACTTGGGAGGCAGAGGCAGAGGCAGAGGCAGGCACGATCTCTTGAGTTCCAAGCCAGACTGGTCTACAGAGTGAGTTCCAGGACAGCCAGAGCTACACACAGAAACCCTGTCTCAAAAAACCAAAACCAAAAAGTTGTAAAGGAATAACACTGAAATAGTTGTGATTCTAGCAGACACAGCCCTGCAAACAATTTCAACATGGGTTTCTGTTGTGTTTTGGTTTTCAGGCAGGGTCTCATGTAGCCCTGGCTGGCCTTGAACTCCGCAGGTGGATTATAGGAATACACCACCACACCAGGTGGGTTTTCTAGGTTACTTTTCTAATTCATGCAAAGTCTGCACTTTAAGGTTTTCAGGGTCTATAAATAAACTTTCTGAAGTGCACTGTCCCACGGGGACGGAACGATTATAAATTCTTGAAAACAAGTAAACTCCTGCTGATTGAAACCCTAACTCCAGCCACAGAGACAACACTGAAATCCACTCATATGCACATCAACTGCAAGACATCTGTTCCCAAATCAAGATGAAGCTTACTTTTCTCTTTCTTCTATTTCCTTCTGTCTTTCCAGCTCCCGCTGCCTCTGGCGCTCTTCTCTCTGGCGCTTTACTACTTTCTCATAATCGTTAGGAAACATAGGGTCATATTCATCAGCTAAGGGGATCAGAACCTCCCCTGCAGAAAACCCACTGGGGACAGGGTCCTGAGGAAGAAAAACATCCAAGTGAGTACCATCTTCATATCCTGCAGGGTTATCACAGGATCAAGGCCAAAGGATGACCAAAGAGAGGCCTTGCAGGTTATCTTCTATTTCCTAGATGAGTAACAATCATAGCATACATCTCACCAGGTGGTGGCACAACCTGGCAATCAAGCAAAGCTTAATTATTCACAGAAAAGTACTGCAGAACTTAAAGACTAAAACAATTCATGAACACAATCATTTCTTAAATGGGTTTTTGTTTTTAAGATTGATTTATTTATTATGTATACAGTATTCTGCCTGCATGTGTCCCTGCACACCAGAAGAGGGCACCAGATCTCATTACAAGTGGTTGTGAGCCACCATGTGGTTGCTGGGAATTGAACTCAGGACCTCTGGAAGAGCAATCAGTGCTCTTAACCACTGAGCCATCTCACCAGCCCTTAAATGAGTTTTAAACTACCACAGTCACCATTTGAATGACATCTGTAGAAAAATACATGTGAAAATGGATTATCATTTACTACATAGTGTCTTGCTCCCTCCAGATAGTATCTCACAGAGTCACAAACTAGACACAAAGCCAAGGATAATGACCCCGAACAAGTCCCAATCCCCCTACAAATCCTGGAGCCCTGTCCTATTAAAGACATGCAGCACTATGCTCAATTTTTATTTTTAATGCTTTTCTCTAAAATAAGCTCTGACACTGTTAATAGACAACAGCTAGAAACAATTATATAGTTTACATACATCAACAGAATTAAATTATAGGTAATCTACGAAGGCAATACACTAAAGCCATTAAAAATGACCACATAGGGGCTGGAGATATGGCTCAGTAATTAACTGCACTGACTGCTCTTCCAGAAAACCCAGGTTTGATTCCCATCACCCACATGGTGGGTCACAACTATCTATAACTCCAGTCCCCACAGGCCACAGGTACACATGTAGTACAGTAAAACACTCAAACACACAAAAAGATTTTTAAATATTTCTGTATTTTTGACAGAGATGGATGAACACTCACTGAGATATTAAGAAAAGCAAATTAGAGAACAGAAGGCAGAACTCACACAAGAAAGACATTCTAAAATTATGTAACTTTTAATGCGTGGAGAGTATGACTGGAAAGATACCTGCTTTTCTTTTTTGCCCATCTTTCATTCCTGATGAATGATTTACCTAAAACTATTTTAGGTAATAAAAGTAAACTTGAGCTGCAAAGGTTACTAGCTTTCAATGGCTCAGGGGTTGACAGTGCTTACTGCTCTACCAGAGGACCAGGCTTTGGTTCTCAGAACCCACACCAGGGTGTTCACAAATGCCTAAGTCCAACCCTAAGAGATCTAATGTCTTCTGGCCTCCATGGGTACCAGCACATACATGTGCACACATACACATATGTGTATACACACACACACACACACACACACACACACACACACAGTCTTAAAAAACCAGAGGAACGTATGTGTAAAATGAAGGAAACAGGAAACGCAACAACAAAGCCCCAGGCGTGTGCAGGCTTACCTTCAGCCCAGCTGCTACATGAGGTGGCGTGTCTACGATCTGCCGGTCGTCTGAGGAGCCTCCTCGCTTTAGGTCGATGACTGGGGCAAGGACTGTACTTTGTTTTGTCCGCTGGCTCTGACATCAGAGACAAGAGAAACACACCCATGTTCCAAATTAAAATTCCTGCTACTTGCAACAGACACTTTTTCTGGTCTCTGTAACAAACCTCCAGCTGTGATAAAAATCACAGTCTGAAACAGTAACAGTCTTTAAAAATACAGTGTTTTCTGAGGCAGGGTCCTATGTAACCCAGGCTGGCCCCCTGTGCCCTATGTAGCTGATGATGAACTTGGACTCCTGACCCACCTCACTCCACATCACTGAGTGTTGGTATATACCCAGACCCAGTTTATACAGTGCTGGGGATTTAACACAGGACTTCCTGAAGACTGGGCAAACACTCTATCAACTGAGCTATATCTTCATCCTTTTTGATCTTTTTTTCAAAGCACAGATTTCTTCCACTTTTCTATAAAGTTTACAGTAACTGTGACCACTTTCTGGTTAGTCTTAACTTCTCTACCTCCCGAGGACAAGCTCCTACCCTACCTCTTTTAGTATGACCTTACTCTGACCAATTAAAAGTACTTATAGACTTACTTGGGTGTGTACGCATGTGTGTTTACACGCAAACACCACGGCGTCTGTATGGAGGTCAGAGGACAACGGAGGGACAGGTCTCTCCTTCCACTATAGGGTTCTAGTCAAACTCACGTCATCAGGCTGGACTCACTGAGCATCTCACCATCCTCAAAGTGCACTTTAACCAGCTGGTCTGTTTTTTCAAACAAAGACCCTGACATTTCCGAAATGTACTTCTGGTCTGTGGGTGTCTTAATCTTAGCAGTCCCTCTTCCCCGGCACCATCACCACCTTTGTTTTCTCCCCGGAATGTTGTTCTTTGGAACGCTGCTTCTTCTAGACCGTCCAGTTAACTTAGACCTCTGCGATCCAGCATTTCTAAAATCCGGTAAAGCTTATAGGCAAGAATGTGTCTCACCGTGAGCTGGTGAACTACATCGAGTTCTCAGGTTGCTAAGACGCCATGGCTGATCAAATGGAATGATGGTGATCACGAAAGTTTAACTTCTCATTTTTACCATTTAAAGAGGCACAAACTTTCATTCTTATCAGGAAGTCTGAGCTCTCTGGACTTTAACAGTGCTTTAAGCAAACAACATGCCATGCAGGTATCAAATGCAAAATCACAACATAAACCCTAAAATTTCCACAATAGGGGTTAGGATAATCATTTACTTGCTCATTTTTAATTTTAATAGGTATTTTCAAAAATGAAATACAAATGAAACCACAGCTTCATCTTTCAGGTACAGGTAAAATTTTTCTTTACCAAATATTTTTTACAAGTTTGATTAGTACTCTGAGAAACTCCCTGAGGAGCCCAAGAGAAACAACATAATGTAGCTTCACTTCCTCATAAGAAATTAAGCACAGAGAGAATCCTCAAAATTCATGTCAGAAGGTTATCAGACATGATTTTTTTAAAAGTAATGTTCCATTTTGACCGATTAAAATCTATCTGCAGTATCAAGATATTTGCTAATAGCTGACAATAAAATATCTGGATAACTAGGTGTGATGGCGCACATTTTTAATCTCAGCACTTGTGAAGCAGAAGTGGATGGATCCTTGAGTTCCAGGACAGCCAGGGCTACACAGAGAAACTCTGCCTTGAAAAACATATAATATATACATATACATTCATATATAAGTGTATATATCAATAAGCAAAAATAAATATAAATTAAAAAGACTGAGGCAGAAAACCAATAGCCTAGATTTCATATGAAAATATTAATTTCTTGCTCCTAAGCAGCAACTTCT